GCTCTAGGGAGGACTGGCAGAATTTCTAGGTGATTGATACCCCTCATGAATAAACTTTTTATGTTTTCAGTTTTAATTAAAATGTTTTTATTGAGGTAGCATTGGTTTATAACACTGTAGATAACTTAGAGATACAGGATCACACACTTCATATGTAGATTACCATACCACCTAGGCTCCCATAGTCCATTGTGCCCTATATACTTTGTTCTCCCTCCTCCCCACCTCTTTTGGTAGCCCCAGTTCTCCAGTTAGATTTCAAGGGTTTGTTATCAGTTTGATTTTGTCTGACCCTTGGCTTTGTTTTCCTATATTCCATATATGTGACACCATCCAGTATTTGTTTTTTAACTTCAGACCCAATGTATACTTGGTTTGCTTGTCTTCTCCTATCCAAACAGCAATTTTTAATTTTGGTTTTAATTACTTCCTTGTCTTGAAAAATGATTGCCTGTAACATGAAGCCTTTCTCAGTTGGGTAACTTTCCACTGTTAACTGATTAAGGTCATCAATGTTTTAGAAAGGAATGAATGAATGAACAAGTGTGAATGACTAGCTAACTAGATTCACTTAAACCACTTTTTCTGTTGCATGGAATATTTTTTATGAAACCCTTCTATGTCTAAGGTTTTGTCTTTTTTCGGATGTTTTTTCCCTCATAGTTTCCAGGCACTATCACAAACCCTTTGATGCTTTGATAGCTAAATTTTAATTCCTTTGTAAAAAATGTTCATTTTCATCAAAGTGCTATTTAACATTAGATATTAACTTTGACAGATGTTAATGTTGCTTCTCAATTAGGTGAAATATATTCTTGGGAAGGTGCCAATTTAAATTGAATATATTTGAATGTGGTATGTGAATTAAACTGTTGTTTAAATCTTATCCTTCCATCATATGGGTGGTGGAGCAGCTGGCTGGTTTTGTATGTAAGTGGGATTTTTCCCCCCTAGCAATATTTAAACATAAGAAAATGGCTTCCTAATGTAGCAAAGAGAACTTCACATGAATTTACTACAGGATCTCCTTGTTTGTCAGTTCTGTAGCCTGCCTAGAATTAAATTGGCAGACACTACTTTGGTATAAAATGCTTTCCATAGACAATATTAATATTTTAAAACCATTTCTGTGCCTGCAGATTTCCAGTAGACAGGAAGTCTAGCTTTATTTACCCTTTGGCTACTAATGAATACTACTGAATTATTATTTATCTTCTTTAGGTAGAAGCACTGCAGGTATGAGATCTAGAATTGCGAAGTAGGCAGGCATTTAACTTTAAAATTAAGGAAAAGATTTTAAAGTTCAATAGTGGTAACCATAATGTGGATACTAGGAAGAAATTTTGGGCTGGAATCAGAGATTTGGCATTGTCCCTACCTGTCTCACTAGCTGGCTCACCTCAAGCTAGTCACTACACAACTCTGGACAGTACATCCTCTCTGAAAGCTCAGTTTCCACATTGCATATACTAAAGCAAGTGTGGAGGAAGGAAGCTGAATCCTCCTGTTTATCAGCTATCCACGCCAACCTAGCAGCTCTGAGGTCAGTCCGCAGCTGCATTTTTCATCGTTTTTTATAATCTCTTAAAACCTTGCCAGCCTTTCATTACTAGTTCTTTTCCCTAGACACTGAGGGCTCCTAACTTTTGGAATTTTTCTGTGCTCATGATTTTAATGAAAAATTACTTAGAGTTGATGAGAAATTCAAGAATTAAAAGTCTAATGTGAATGAGTATGTCTTTCACGACTGATGTACCTTCACTATTGCAGGGTTTTGAAGCTCATACATTTGAGTCTTGGTATGATGAGGCATGATTGTCACTAGTCACATTAGCTACGCTACCATTCTCCCATTTATTCCTTGTTCTAAAACTTTCTTAGGTCCAGAGTGATTAAGCAACATGGTTCCATATACACGAAAAGCTTTCTAGCCTGATCCTCAGTTACATTTTAGGTACTTGAAAATATCATTGATTTGAAATGGTTTGAATTATTCTGAGCTAAAATTTACCTCATATTGGTTTGCTGGAAAATAAGCAAAATGATAACTTGCCTTAAAGTGTTGTAAGAGTAACCGTCTGGCAATGTCAGCAGATATATTGTTTTAATGTAAAAGCTAGCATTAGATGCAAAAACTCATCATTAGAAAGTGAGGCCTAACACTAAAATTTAGAAAGCATATGATAACAAGTATTGGCAAGAATGTGAGGAAATTGGAACCCTAATATACTGCATTGCAGGAGTATAGACTATTATAGCTGCTGTGGGAAATAGTTTGGTGATTCCTCAAAAAGTTAAACATATAATTACCATATCATCTATTTCCGCTCTTGGGTATAGACCCAAGGAAAATATGTCTACATAGACACTTGTCTACACAAAACTCATACATGAATTTTCATAGAAGCATATTCATAATAGCCAAAAAATGGAAATAATCCACAAATAGAAAACAAAATGTGATATGTACATTCAATTGAATATTATAAAGCAATAAAAAGGGTGAAGTATTGACATATGCTACAACATGAATAGAACCTCAAAAACATGCTAAGTGAATGAATTGAGACACAACAGGCCACATATTGTATGATTACACTTATATGAAATGTTCAGAATAAGCAAATTCATAGAGACAGAGATTATTGGTTGCCAAGGACTGGGGGTGGGAGAATGAGAGTGATTGCTATCAGGTAGAAGGTTTCTTTTTGGTGTGATGAAAACATTTCAAAATTAGATAGTGGTGATGATTTTACGGTGCTGTGAATATATGAAAAACCATTTAATTGTGTACATTAAAAGGGTAAATTTTGTGATATGTGAATTATATCTCAAGAAAAGTTGGACAAGATGGAAAAAGTTCTAATTCAAGAAGGAAAAAGATGAATGGTGGTGATGATTCCACAGCAGTGTGAATGTACTTAATCCTTCATAACTGTATGCTTAAAAATGGATGTATCTCTTACCACAATAAAAAATATCTAGCTCTAAATCCCTGGTGGCGCAGGTGATTGAGCACCGCACTGTGAAGCTGTCCGCAGCCTCTGCAGCGCGGGTTCGATCCCAGCTGGCCAGCAAGGATCCCACATGGCGAAGCAGACCTCTCCTGTCTCGCCCTCTGCTCCCCTCCCAGTGTATTTCAGTCAGTCTGCCTGTTCTGTTCCCCGCTCTGTCTCTGGTGAATCCTCTCACCCTCCCATGCATCCGGCCTGTACCCCAGTTCTTGTATAAAAATAAATAAATCTTTAAAAAATAGCTTATTAAAAAAAAGTTATATTTAAATTATTCTAATGTATAAGGCATTCCCACCCCCATTTTTTTTTATAGGAAAACTGAAAGTATGATTGCCTTTTTTGTTTTTTAATGCATGAGATTTTTCTGGTCTGTGTTTTAGAATTTCTCCCCAGTATGTGTATGTGTCAGGGGTGGTAGTGTTATATGTTTATACACACACATATATGTCTTCATCTTGGCTTTGAATGAGAACTTGAAAATATTTTTTAAAACCCTTTTTGCCAATAGGACAATAAAAAGAGCCAAACCATAGGAAATCTATGTTGTTAAATTATAAAGTAGTGAAATGCTATTCTCAGCATATGAATTATTACAGATTATTTTAGTTAATCTAAAGATTTTCTTAGTTAATCTTGGTTGGCTCCTTTTATGGGAAAAATTATACTTGATATAGAATATCTCCATATCTTTCTAGAAGCGTTTTCCTTTATATAGTAGGTCAGAGTGTACAATAAAATTGTACGTTGAAGATACTTAGCAAGCATAGGTATTTATTTGTACAATATAGTGAGGGTGAGAATGCAAAGGAAGGGATAGAAAAATGAAAAAAATAAAACCCAGTAATGAAGAAGTCACTGAAAAAGAATTAAATTATATTCAAAGGCCATGGAACTTTGTTATGATCCAAGCAATGTGTAGGCTCAATGTTTGTAACCTGTAAGGATTATCTGTGAAGATATTTTCTGAGCCTAGCTCCTATATAGTATTTTTGGAGATCAGCAGTGCAAGTGCCAGCAGTGCCATTAATATAGTGTGCAATTAGAGTTATGTTTGCTTTTCTTAACCAGGAAGTGGCTTCTTTAAAAGGAATGGGGAACACAGTGCCTCTGTGTGTACGTATCTGTGTGTGTGTATGTGTGTGTGTTCTGTCTATTCTACTGTTACAAAAAGAATTATAATGTTCCAACATTTCGTCCTTTACATTGGGGTTTTTCTAGAGTTATGCGTTGTAATACGCTACTCTTGATTACAGGATCCAATCAGAGTTGATGTACTCAGAAATCCATTGGTGTGATTAATGGTCTTCTAGCCACACTTTTATTTCCTAGATTAGCCCCATTTCCTGTAGTTTCACAATTTTTTTAGTCATATCTTGAATTATCTTTTACAGGGGTTCTGAAATCCTTGTAAGTATTTTTAGTCTATAATTTGCATGATTATTTTCATTTTCTTTGATTTCTTTTGCTTGAAGAAAATGAAATTTTGGTCTTTTTTTGTTTTGAACTCTTAGTGCTCTTCTATGGTAACTGGCAAACCTGGTCTGAAATTTTTTTTACAATATTATACATATATAATGTATCTATTAGATAGATAGATAGATAGATAGATAGATAGATAAATTTCTACCAGCAGTAGATGCAGAAGTCTTATCACAAGTTACCACTAGTCTGGTTTTTATTCTCCTCAAAAGTAAATTAAAATATTCTCAGAATCTAAAAGTAACAGGGGACTAGCCTAGAAAATAACTATATAGGAAATATAATTGGTCATTTACTCTTTACAATTGATTTGATCATGATTGGCTAATGGATACAGGCTATTGAATGAAAAAAAAAAAAACAGCTTCTTTGGGCCTTTGAATACATTTGAAGATCTCCCACCTTTGTGGGATTTTTAAAATCGTTTCCTTTTTTTAAATGATTGTATTTTCAATTAGGAACTCAACTATCTAGTGATTGTTTTAATATTTGCTTTATTTTTAACAGTGCCCTTAAAGATAGCCGTTTTCCCCCAATGACAAGGGATGAGCTGCCACGGCTGTTCTGCTCAGTGTCTCTACTCACTAACTTTGAAGATGTCTGTGATTATTTGGACTGGGAGGTAAGGCCATAGAGAATTTTTAGAGATAAACAAAGGTAACTCTTGAGTGGCTGTTAAACATTAGGCCCAGAAAATAACTCTTTCAGCCCATTCTCTACTGTTCATGGAGGTGAAGATTAATATGGATAAATAAATCTCACAGGTGATCAATAAGCTATGAGTAAAGGGGGTTTTTTTTAAAGGCAAAATGCCATGTGTTGTTTTAATCCCCAAGTTAATTTGCTTTTCACTGAATTTGTAGTCTATTACTTCACTACAGCACCCAATAAAAGCTGTTAATAAGAAGTAAGAAAGACTGATTAGAATTTATTTCTTCTCATATTTCCAATCTAATGCTCTCTGGTGTGACTGCCACCAACAGTTAGGTGGTGAGAGAATACCTCTCAGAAACAGGAACAAAAGAGTTAGGATAGTATACCAGTTGGGGAAATCAGCTGGTGGATAATGACAGGGTGTTAGTTAACTGGAGTTAAAGAAATGCTAATTCATTCTTGACTACCTTAGTCATGCACTTAAACACACCAAAAATTAATATTAAGGTTAAATCTCAGGTGTCTCTGAGCTTTGTGATTATCATAGTATCTATATTGATTATATTTTTATTCTATAGAATGTGGGGTTGGGGTCCCTGCCATAAAGCATCAGGTAGTTTAACAGCAGAGCAAAAAGTACAAAGTACAAAGAAATAAGTGCTGTATAAGTGAACAGTGGGAACTCAGTGATATACTTGGTATTCTAGCTCACACTCACACTCATTAAATGACATGACTATCATTACCATATAACATGCTTTAATTCTACTCCTTTTTAAGAATAACTGTCCCCCATGGGTTTGTTTTGTGGACTGATTGCTGTCTTGACAGTTAATTGGACTTGAATTTTATTTTTTACTTTGCCCTGATTCCTTGTGGGGATTTGGATAATTTACTCCACTTCGATTCAGTTTTTCCACACATAGAATAAGACATTTATGAAGTTCTTAATCTTCATTTAAAAATCTCTATGATATAAATTGTTGTTGTTATGCCAGAGCTATTTAAAAACTTCTTCAGAGAACAGGATGAAAGAGTTCCTTCTGGGTTTTGTGGTAGGATTTTTGGAGCATTATCAGAATATGAAAGCATTTTCAAATTTTTTTAAGGAAAAAAAATTGAGTGTTGATCCTAGCAAAGTTGGAATGTGTAAAACCTTTTATAGAATTGAATTTTCCTTACTGTTTTCTATAAGTTTATTGTTCCTATTTGAATTTTTAAAAGTGTAACGATACCCCAGTACTTTATTTTGAAATGATTCCAAATAATATCTCTTACATACTAACAAATTTTATGGTTTGGATGGTTCTTTTGCTCTTGTAAGGCTACTGCTTCCTCTTTTCCACCTAGAATTTTATATCTACTCTCTGAATTGTGGAGAGTTGTGTGTATGTAGAGGTGGAAGTAGGAATAATAACAGGGGAAAGGCTGAGATCTAGGGAATGACGGAGCTGTAAAAGCATTTCTTCCTTATTTGCAGCTGCTAAGTTGAAATTACAGTTTGGCACATGTGTGTACATACATGTATGTGCATGTGTGTGATATACATAAGATACATGTATAAACATGTGTGCATGTGCTTGGGGGAGGGAAAATGGGGAGCATCCAACAGTTGTAAAATATGGGTAAGCACAGAATATATCTTCTTTAGCTTGCTTCAAGCTCTGTCTAAGCTAAAATTAACCTTGATAATATTGGGATTTTATATTCAAGAGATGTATCAGATATCTGTTAGGAGGGTAGGAGGGAAAGCACTTAAGAATTGGTACTATGAACTCTCTCAGAGTATATTTATCCTTGCTGGTGATAATCTACCAGCTTGAATTTCTAGAAGATTTTATATATATATATATATATATATATATATATATACACATATATATATGTATATGTATATTTTTTAACTTGGTACTGTATATTTAGTACTTTTCTTGTGATTAAATTTTAGTATGCACTTAGTGATGCTTTCCTATTAAAGTAACAACAACAATGAACATAGATACATACAGTTTCATACTTTTAACATATAAATATTTGAAAGAGAATTAGATACTGCTACAATGGCTATACTGAGGGGGAAAGAGTACTTTTCAGTTAGCTCATCATAGTTTAAAGTGCTGAACATAAAAGAAATTTGTTTGCAAGGTTGAAAATTACATTTTTAAGTATAAAAATGTGATTTGGGTTTAAAAAGAATGTACTATACTCAGTGATTGAAAATAGAATGGAATGTTAAAGGGTTATCTTTAATGATTCTGAAAAAGCATTGCTACTTTTTCTTTTAGAATAAATTATGGATGTTTTAATTTGATGCCATATGTCGCTGTACTCAATGATTTCAGCATGATGCAGTAAAATATTTACATAAATCACTTTAAATATTTGCTTTAATAAACTTTTATTCATTGCCATGCATTTTACTTATTTTCACCTTTTTTTTATTGCAGTAACACTGATTTAATACTTTGTATTTTATAAGTATTGGGTCTCCCCCTTCATGTGTTGTTACTGCACCACATCCACCACCAAAGCACCCATACAGAATATCAAAGTAGAATTAAAGTCTTTTTGAAAGAGTATATGCCAATACAATTGCACCTGGGTGTAGATCCAAAAGAAATGAAACATATATCAAAAAAAAGTGCACACAAATATTTATAGCAACACTATTCATACTAGCCAAAAGGTGTAAAAACCCAAATGTCTATCAACAAGACAAATGGAGTAAACAAAACTCACTGTAGCGACACAATTGAACATTATTCAGTCATAAAAAAGAATGAAGTACTGAAACATGCTGCAACATGAATGAAACTTTAAAACATTATGCTAAGTGAAGCGAGCCAGACACAAAAGACTGCATACCGTATGATTCTATTTATATGAAATATCCAGAATAGACAAATTCATAGAGACAGACAGCAGATTAGTAATTGCCAGGGGATTGGAGAGGGTATGAACAGAGAGTAATAACTACTTAGTGGGTACACAGTTTCTATTTGGGGTGATGAATAAATTCTAGAACTAGAAAATAGTGATGTTGTACAACAATATGAATGTCCTTAATACCACTGAACTGTATACTTTAAAATGGTTAAGATGCTAAATTTTGTGTCATCTGTATTTTACCACAATAAAAATGCAAATATGCATATGCATGTATTTAAGCCTGTTGTCCATAGTAGTATGTATCATAGTTGAAATTTATTGAAAATTATTTAAATTCAAAAACTATAAAGAAATGAAAGTCATGCATAATTACACAATTCTGAGATAAACATTGTTAAAATTTTAGAATATTTCTTTCATTTGTGTATGTCTTTGTATCAGTAAATCTGCGTATTTGCTTATGTAACTGAGATGAATTTGAATATACAGTCATTATTAAAAAGAGGATATGGGAAAATCTTTGTTTATGGTTTATCTTTGTAAGTTAATTATTTATATTGCAAGTTTCCTTTATGAGGACTGAGTCTATATTATGAAAGCATATATTTCACTTTGAGAAATTCACACTGTCAAATAGGTACAACTTTTCTTCCAAGAATGAAATATCCAATTCACCATAAGTATATAATTTTAACCTAAAATGCAAAGTGCTGTATACATTTATGCCTGAAGGAGAAATAAGAGATGATTACAGAATTTTAATATCAAACATTCAAGTTGAAGATAGAAAATGAGCATTTTTATATAAGCAGACTACTCCAACACAGGACTTTTCAGGTGGAAGTACAGTTTGAGAACTGACCCCCACTGGTGAAGCCTGTGTGTTGCTGCAGTAGAGTCCCTAATTAAAGGAATGAAAACACCCACATCAAAGCAGGGAGAGGGCAAAGCCTAGAAGTCCTAAAGTGTAGAGGTAGGTAACTTTAGTAGTAATTAAAGACACATCCCTGTGGTCATGAAGATGAGGAACGTGACCAGAAATGATAGTCACCAATTTTCAGATGATCAGGAAAGGAAAAATGAAAAGTGAATTGCCAGAGGACTAGTGACTCTCTGGCTCTCTTCTTCATCCAAGGGTTTTAACGCAGCCTATTTGCAACTCTCTTTTAGTAACATGTCTCTCATTTTATAATGGAAGTTAGTAGGGAAGTAGGATTTATAGCAGACTTGACTGCTAGAATTGCTTCTGTTGTGTAATGTGAGGAATGTCTGATAAATGGTTTCACAAGTGGATGTAATTAATTCCAAGTCAATGTTGAATCCACAGAATTACCTGTAACACTCACATATGTTACATTTACTCAAAACAGTATTTGTAACATTTAAAATGAGTGTCTGCTGTTGGTGGGAGTGCAAACTGGTCCAACCACTGTGGAGAGCTGTGTGGAGATTTCTGGACCTACTAAACATAGAGCTTCCATATGATCCAGCAATTCCACTCCTAGGTATTTACCCAAAGGACACAGAAGCATCAATTCCAAAGAACACCTGCACCCCTATGTTTATAGCAGCACTGTTTACAATAGCTAAGCTTTGGAAACAACCCAAATGCCCAAAAATAGATGACTGGATCAAGAAGATGTGGTACATATATACCATGGAATATTACTCAGCATTCAAAAAAAGATAAACACATGCAATTCGCAGCAACATGGATGGCGCTGGAAGGGATCATGCTCAGCGAAATAAGCCAGAAAGAAAAATACCGGATGGTCTCACTCATAGCAGGAATCTAGAAAACTTAAATAAGGGACCAGGAAAATGAATAACTATAAGAAAGTGAAAATCAAAATCAACAAAAAACTATGAACCAGAGACATTTTTAGGGGGGCGGGGGCGGGAGGGGAGGGATTGGGGTCAGAATGGGGGGGCTGCAATTGTATGGGGAATATAAAAATAAAATTTATTATTTAAAAAATAAAAAAATAAAATAAAATGAGTGTCTGTAGCCTCTGAAGGAGTCTGGGTAGTCATGAAAAACAATGAAACCATCCACAAAGGCTCTGTAGAGAAATTGGA